GTACAAATTCGATTATAGCGAGATATCTAAATATAATTGAGAAATCGTCACAGATTCACAGATTCACAGGAAATTGGCCATTTTTATCAATCTCAATAGATAGATAAACTAAATAATAAAATTTAGTAAAACATTGAAATAAAAATAGCAATATTAAAATTAAGGCCAAATTCGAATCTAAGTTGCTTTATCAAAATACTAACCCTCGAAAGTGAATTTTGTTACCTTAGAAGTATTGCAGTTCCAGTAACCTTATCCCCGTGGCTTCAAGAGAATTCTAACCTGATTGATACAAGAAGGTATGAGTTAAGCTCTGAACTAATAACAAAATAATGACCTGTGATACAAGTTGTGACCCGAAATTGAATAGAGAATAAAAGGCTTATTGAAATCTAGCTACAATTCCAGCAAAACAAACCAAAATCCCCTTGATCAAAAAGATAGTTATCACGATCAGGATCGGGTTTCCAAAGAAAGTTGGGTTTCGAAGTATATAGTGAGAGGAGTAACAGGAAAAAAAGAAAAAAGTTAAAGCTATTAAAAAAAAAAAACTAAAGAATAATGATAAGTTTTGTGTTCAAGATACGATTTCTTGATCATGTGCGCCACCGATTAGCTGAAATTATTAATCAATCAAATTAAGTTAAGAATTTGACCGATTCATTATTTAATTGGAGAAAGATAAATTATGATGTGATTAATTTAAGAGTCAATAAGAAGATAGTTAAAATAAAAATATTTTTAAAAAATAGTTATACAATACTTTACAAAGACCCGATAACCCTGTTAATTTAAACAATTCTCAATTCAATTTGTGGTTAGGTCACGCAAAGTTAACTCTTTATTTAACATTACATGGAATCTGAAAATTGGGTCGTTCGGTTGATTTTTCTTTTTAAATCTACTTTAAATTAATAAAATTATGTTTGTATTTTAAGGCTATGCAAAGTTATACTTTTTTTTGCATAACAGAGAATTAGAAAATTGGTTGGCTGTCGTTTTTTTCTATCAGTTATATCAGATAATTCCGGGATGTCGAGTGTCTTCATCAGGTGATACCGCAGAAAAAATAAATAGCAAAAATCAAATAAATTGGCACAATTGGGATATAAAAAAGAAAAATTTTAGAAAAATTAAAAAAAATGGTAATGTTAAATAAAAAATTAACTTTGCGTGACCTTAGTGAGGACTTACTTATAAATATAAATCATGTGAATCATAATCAGTAATATATGAACAGAATAAAGGTTAGAAAATCATATTAATTATATAAATTATTACATTGCACATCTCTACTATTAAATTTATACCTGGCGATCTTTACTGTGAGAATATTGTAATATCAAAATTTAAGTGTCAGGATTTTAGTGTTGGGATTTTTAGTATCAGGATTTTGAATGTTGGCAGAATTTGATTGTCATGATTGAATGTTGGCAGGACTTTGATTGTCATGATTTTGAATGTTGGTAGGATTTTGATTGTCATTAATATATGTCTCATGATCGCACATTGCAGTAACGTATTCTTTGTTCAAATAAAAAGGGTATTCGTGTATGTGCATAGTGATTTTGAATGCTGGCAGGATTTTGATTGTTGTGATTTTGAATGTTGGGGATTTTGATTGTTGTGATTTTGAATATTGGCAGGATTTTGATTATCGTGATTGAATATTGGTGGGATTTTGATTGTCGTGATTTTGAATGTGTCGAGATTTTATTTTCAAGATGAAATTTTGTGTATTGGGATTCTGCTATAAAATCAACGAATTTCAAACGGGTATCTTGCATTTAAATAAATTATCACAACTCTAATTATAATAATAAAACAGACATGGAAGAACTCTTATCTGACGCTTCATTAGTTAGTGAAGAAGAAGAAATTAATAATGACTTTAGCCAAGAATCTAACGTGGTGGAATATCATGGGGAGGATTTCACGTTTGACTGGCAATCATTAAGAAACGCAAGTGAATTAGTACCAAATCTGGCGAACTACCTGAAAGTGATGAAGAAGTACAATTATTAAGAAAAGCTAAAAAAACAAATGAACTTTTTGAGAGCAATACTGAATTCTCTGAAAGTGAAGAAGTATTTGAGAAGATTTGTAAAACCGGTTCCCTCTAACCCTGGCCGTAATGCTAATCATTATTGCGTAATCGTCAATTATAATAAAGATCAACACATGATTCAAAAATGCAATGTCCTAGCAAATCGTAGGGTGTATGAACTAGCTAGTACGTGGAAGGTTGATCCTCAAGCCGTGAAAGAAGCTGAAAAAGATCTTTCGGTGCTATGTATTTGTAATCATCACCTTAACTACGATAATTCACTACATCCAAATCGTTCACCTGAATCAGGAAAAAAAATAAAGTTAGAGCAGCCAATTGATGAAAATAATGTAGGATATCATTGTTTATTTTGCAATAAAATCAAGAGCTTTTTTACAAGAGGTGAGACGTGTTCAGCACATATGTGGATTGTAAGTGGTCGTAAAATTCAGGTTACTTGTCAAGGATTATTCAATTGCCCATCAATTACTACATATGTGAGTTATCAGGTGAACCACCAGCTAACGAACACCTCGTTTTATTTGCACAAATTGTTATGTAATGCACAGAGGTCATTTACATATTTTACCAGGGAAAAAAGAAAAGCAGACATCATGTATAGAAAGAGGTGAACATGATGATGATGTGCATCTTCTTTGAGTTTGTTTAGTAAGTGAATTGAACAAACTGCGGCATCAGATAATAAAACAGAAAAAGCCAATTTACTAAAAGAACTTATCAAAATATTAAATAACATTACTGCCAATGTACAAAGTAGTACAAGTGCCACCTTAACTACACCTATAATTAGTGCAAGTGCATCCTCTACTGCACCTACAGTTAGTGCAAATGCACCTTCCACCGCTTTTATAGTTCCCAGCCCTTTTCTAATAAAAACAGCATTTAAAATTAAAAAAATTAATATTACTAAAAAAGCACAAGCAATGCAACTGAAAGAAACTACATGCAAAAAATTTGGAGAGATACTTGCACATTCTATATTAAATACTTAGCCAGAACTCGAACAGAAATTATCATCAATCGAAGAGTCTAAGTCACTAGATAATACCATAATGCCATGCCAGCTCTACTTTTAAACTTTTTCATGAGCTTGATTTCAGCTCTAAAAAATAGAGAAGACAAGTATTAGCTAGAAAACGGAAAGAGTGAAACTTGCCCTCACCACAACTAGACGAAAAAAATTGTGAAAATTTCTCTTTTTTTTATCTCAGTATTACTTGGTATTGCCTTTCCTTGCTGGAGAATATGGATTATACATATTCTTTCTTCACTTTGCCAACAACCAAAATAATAGGATCTCTCTATAAAATTCTTTATGAAGTTAATGTAGTTTCATATATTAGAGATCATGAGGTGCGTGTTCAAAAAAAAAGAATATCAGCTTCAGATCCTTGAACACGGTTCAACTTGTGTCCAAATATCTTAAATATAGCGGTTATAGATAACATTGACACGAAGGATACCACTTTTCAATATGGCAACATTTATGATGCAGTTTGTGCTACTGCACACACAACGTTGCAAATGGTCTTTCAGTTTCAATGTCCAGAAACCGCCAATTCAAATAATGAGTCATTGGGAAGTCAGAACCTCTTTGGTGTAAGTCCTATTTTGGAAGAATGGCAAAAAAAATTAGATTCTATATTTATTCAACTCATTAAAGAAAAGCCATCATTTGATGCTAAAGACATTGATACAGCTATTAGAAAACACATTAACTCAGCATTATTTGTAGCTCCTTCTAACATAGTAATTCTTCAACCAGGAGAGGCTCCAAGCAAAAATGAACACGTTCATCACGCAGTTAATATGTTTCTAGAGAACTTTGAGTATACAGAGAGCAGTGTGCTAAATTTAGTTTGCGATGAAGCGATTTATTGTCGAATGTATGACTACAAGAATGAAGAGCAAACAGTACATTGCATTTTAGGACAATTGCATACAAACAAAGCTATATGTAGCACACTTATTGCTGCTTTTTCAAGATATGGACTTTTTGGGCTTGCTACATGACTTGGCGTTAGATTTCTTAACAGACTTGTGCAAATTGCCAACTACCGAGCAACATTTCGAGTACTTGAGCTTATCTGGATAGCTGTTGAGGTTGCAATTTATCTATATGCCGAAGAAAATAATATTTCTATTAATGATATTCCTAAAGAAAACAATGAATTACTAAAAACATGGTATAATTTTTACCAATGAGCTGGGTACTTGAAATTACATAAACTTGGAATTCGTATAGCAAATTTCAATTTGCAGATTTATAGCTTGATGGCATTTGCTCCTTTATTCCCTAGGACAAAAAAATATAGGTATTCCGAATTCGTAGCACGATTTTTGTCAGACGTCGAAAAAGAACCACAATTCTTCCAAGATTTTCAAACAATACCCTCAATCAATTTAACACAAGAAGGTTATTATTTTGCTTTTGACGAGGCTCTAGAAATTTTTGCCTTGAAATTCGTAAAAGAATACATGACTGGATGCACAACTAATCCTGATAACCTAAACCTAATTATTAAATTAGCACAATCAGAATATGAAAAACTCGACTTGTTAGTTTCAGAGTTTGTTGAAGATCAACCAATAAGCAGAAACTTATGGTCTGTTAAAATCATAAAGAAGCTTTTTGGGATCTAATTTATGAGCTCAAATTAATATTTGGTGACTTGCAGTCAGAGACATGTACCTTATTTACAGAAACTACTCAGTTAACTGATGATGGTTACCAGCAGATGTTTGCCTGCTACCAATCAGGAGTCAAAACAATAGAGACCTACATTGCTACCAGATCAAAAAAATGGAAAAGTAAATGAAATCTTATACCTATAAAAATATCAAAAAATAAAAAAAAGAAGTAGTAAACAGCAGTTTTCTGCAAACTTCAGAATCACATAATATAGAGAGTATAGAAACTAACATTGAAAACATGCAAATGGCATCTAAAAATGAACACAAAGATCAGTTGTTATCTCCAAAAAAATGTAAAAAATATAAAGCCACAAACGAAAAAGAACAAATCTTGAATCAACTTGAAGATTATAAAGACTCTTCAGTACTGCCCACAGAATTTGCTAAAAAGCTAGTGGAG